TCAATAAATGGCTATTTTCTGATGTCTGGTATTATATGGCCACTGGAAGGCATGTCCATTACCCTCAAACACATCAGTTATTTATTGCCGCAAACTTTGTCTATAAAGTGTTTGCGCGATATTATGCTAAATGGTTGGGCTATTCATAATAAGTTTGTTGCTTTAGGATTTCTATCCAATATAATCTGGATACTTATCTATATACTACTTTTTACCATGTTATCTAAGTCTAATAAGTAACACCTATACGTAAAGAATTTATATTTTATTATTATGCAATATGAGTATTTATTTTTAGCATTTGTTATGAGATGTTATAATTTTTCATGATATTTTAAATGTTAATAATTGATATTTTTGACATTTTACAGTAAAACCTGAATTCATTTCTGATGAAGAATTGAGTTCAAGTGAATTTCTGTTGTACTGTATAATTTATATTTGTATTTTATTCTTGGAAAATGTGATTTATGTTGAATTTTTACTTTTCAAACGTTTATCAGAATGGTGATAATTCCCCTTAATATATAATAAAATCTCTCTTTTAAAACACATACATTAATCTTGATGAAATTTTATGTAAAAATATGAATTAATTTATTAGTAATTTTACATACAATATACCGGTAGTATGTGATCAACTAACACTAGTCAACATGTGTTTAGTCTGAAGTTATAACTGTTAGTAAAAATATTTTAAATGAATAGTACCATTAAAATCTATTTAAACAAATAAAATAACTTTTTTATATAAGTTGTACAAGTGCTTTAAATAAATTATACAATTAAATAATTACATAATTTATTTAAATAATTAATTTCTAAAATGCATATCAAGAATAATATTGAGAAAGATGTTGATTTACCTAAAACATGGGACATGGAGTCACTCGACTGGACACAATTGATGGTTAAAATACGGTCGCTTGAGTTCTCTTATGACAGAAAAAGCAAATTTATTAATGAACTCAATATGTCTGTACCTAAGGGTGCCATGTAAGTATGAACAATTAAGTTTAAAATTATTGCAGTGAAGTTGGTATCATGGTTTTATTTTAATTTAAATTCAACAACTTCATATGCCTTCAGATATGGATTGCTGGGTCCGAGTGGTTGTGGAAAGACTACTGTATTAAAACTTATTTTAGGTAATATTTGCTAATAGTAGAATTTGAGATAAATAACCAGTAATTAATTCTATCAATAATTAAAATTAATACAAAAGGCTTATTACGACCAACATTTGGCAAAATTAGAATAAACGGCAAAATATCCAATCATCCGGATAATAATATTCCCGGTATTGGTGTTGGATTTATGCCGCAAGTAATTAATATTATACAACATTAATATTGAACGTTTATACATAATGAATGTTGATTTTGTTTTTATTGAGGAATTGTCACTCATTCAAGAGTTTACAGTATATGAAACACTTAAATACTTCAGCAAATTATATGGTATGAGCCGTGAATTGACACTTTCGAGGATTCAATTTCTGGTAGAATTTCTAAATTTGCCCGATCCTAATAGCCTTATTACTAATATGAGGTATGATCATTTAATTGACAAATAATTTCAAAGTAAAGCAAATCTATATTTAATTTTTTATAGTAATTGTAATTATTTTTTTGTATATCAGTGGTGGACAGAAACGACGAGTCTCCCTATCACTATGTCTTGTATGTTATTGTGGGAAAAGCTTTAAAACATTAATAACAAGTAACCTTTAGATCCATAGACCGCCACTTCTTATATTAGATGAGCCAACAGTGGGAACCGATCCGATAATCCGAGAAAAGTTTGTTACAATGAGTTTATTTACCAGTATGTTATTTATTAATTGATTTTTATATCTAGAATTTGGAGACATTTAATGTTTTTATCGCAAAGAAAGTCAACTACTATTATAATAACCACTCATTATATAGAAGAGGCCCGAAGAGCACATGTGGTACTTATAATAGATTTATAAAAAGTTAAATTATTATATTACATAAATTGTGTGATTTAAACACTATATTTAGATATCACTGATGAGAAAAGGGGAGCTATTGGTGGAGCATTCGCCACAATATCTATTAAATCACTTTCAAACAGAGAATTTAGAGAAAGTATTCCTAAATATTTGTTTGAAAGTGACTAAAGATATGCCAGAAAATTATATGGACTACAAAAGTGATAGCAATGAATGTGTGAATCCTGACAAAAAACATTTTCTAAATGATAAAGAGGTTAAAGAAAATCGTTTTGTTACATCTGTTAAACGACTAGTAATACAAACCCAGAAGAACGGGATTCTTCATATGAGAAACAAACGGTAATTATTTATAACAATTTATAATACAATATAAAAAATATTATTTTTATTTAGCCGGCTCATATTTGAAATATTAATGCCGGCGATGATTGTGGCATTATTTTGTTTATGCATTGGTAAAACACCAACTAATATTCAAATAGCTCTTTATAACGGAGAATATAATGAATCTGTGGTTAGAAACAAAGCATTCATTACACTAAGTCATGTATTTTTGAGTCATATAAGCAATGAGACCATATATTTTGTAAGTTGGTTTGTAATTCAATAACTGAAAGTACGATATATTTGTTTGAAATAATTTTGGCGAATAGATAAATATGGAGTCAAAGGAAAAGGCACTCCAATCGATGTCATCAGAGGATCATAGCATTTATGGGGCTCTAATAATTGATACAGACTTTACCGCTGCACTCATGAGGAGGTTTACCACAGATTTAAGTTTTAGTGATAATGATATTGACAGAAGTACTATTCATTTCTATGGAGATTATACAGGTTTATAACTTATATTATATTAAATTGGTTATATAATACTGTATGTACGGTACTTTAGATACTGTATGGGGTTTATTTAATTATGCATTTTCTATGAATTTATTGTTTTCAGTGACATTAATAATAAATGCTGTAATAAAGGCGATAAGAGATGCAGAAAAAAGTTTTATAAGAGAAATAATCAGTAAATATATGCCATTAAATGAGAATTTACAAGAAGTACCACAAAATCGCATGTTTGATTCAGTGGTCCAAGCGATGGATTCACCGGTGTATGGATCAAATGATTTTGGATTACAAAGCTTTTTTTCATCAGGAATTGTATTATCCAACATATACTTCATGACAATGGGAATCACTGCCGTTATGTTTGTCTTGGAGTCCAATAGTGGTCTATTGGAGCGCTCACTGCTAACTGGCCTTAAGATGCGTGAGATAATAATATCGCAAGTTTTCATCCAGCTCATTGTGATAATCTGTCAGACGATACTTATGATAACAATGCTATTATATGTATTTAATGTGCCAAACAGTGGATACATTTTGGACATTATTCTAATTGTTTTCCTGCAAGGGATCGCTGGCATGGGTTTTGGTTAGTATTAAGTCGATATTAATCAGTTTGGTTTGAATCTCACAAGTATTATCTCATAGGTTTTGCAATATCATCGACGATGAAAGAAGTCCAATGGGTATCGATGGTCACAACGAGCACATGCATGATCTATTTGTATCTCTCGGGGTTTATTTGGCCACTCCATGGCATGCCTGTCCTTATGCGACGCCTGAGTCTTGTTATGCCACTAACCCTGCCATTGAAAGCATTGCGAGATATGCTGAATAAAGGCTTATCTTTTGGCGATCAATCCGTTGATCTCGGGTTTATCGTAACAACTATTTGGATATTTATATTCGTATTAATTCATGTAATTATGAAGAAATGTAGGATTTTTTAAGATCAAATGTTTTCATAATTTTAATTTTTTTTATGTTTGCGTTCATGTTTACGTTTTTATTGAAACTTCACATTTCAATAGAAAAGATTTATCACATAATTGATAACTCTTTTACGTTTTTGTCATTAATGTATATTTAAAAAGTATATCGCTGATTATCGGTTGATAGTTTAAAAATATTTTCTCACTTTTATTTTTTTGGGTTTTATTGAAAAAATAATTAAATAAGTAAATTTTAAGTATTATTTGTTATTTGATATTTTAATAATTTGATAGTAAAGGTCTCCGATATTAATTTATTGAAATGCTTTGGGAATGAAAAAAGTAAATAATATATAAATTGCCATATTATTTATGAATTCAATGAACAAACAGGAAACTATTTCATTGAATACTGGATTTAATAGCAAAATCAGGGCAAATTACTTTCGCATTAATTAAGTTTGTGTACACTTTTTACACTATAAACCATAAGTCAGTCTTATTTATGTTTTTATCTTAATCTTGTTTTTTAATTATATTAATATTTTAATTAATTTCCAATCATATATTTGAGAGCATTTAATTTGCATGAATTAAAATAAAATATTAAATTAAAACTTTTTAAATACTATTTATACAAAGTTTTTCAAACTAATTAATAAATACAAATTTAAAATGAAACAAAATATTTAACCATTTAATGAGATGCAGGCGAAAGTGGTTGTAAAAACTGACTATTTATTTGTAAATAAGATGTCTATTAAACCGAAAAAATTTCAATTTAATGTTCATTTTTTGTGCCGATGTCTGCGACAACTGTCTGGTCTGTCCAGATATCCTTGAATTAGTTTTAGTGATAATTTTTTGGATTCTTTTGCAAATTCCTAAAAGCCATTGAAATGTATATCTTATGCAACTTTAACCAACTCTTGCACCAGGAGGTGGTTATACAAAAGACCTTAAATATCAATTAATTACAGCACATAGAGTCCAAAAATGCGATAAAAATCACTGCCTTTATTAGTGTATTAATTCATTAAAACATTTTAAGTGCATTATAAATGTACCTGTATAAAGATTTAAATTTACATTCAATATTTTGAACACGTTTATAATTAAATAAGAAATAAAGCACAGGTAGCAAAAAAATTATAAAAATATCTCGTGGCCATAACATTTATTAAGCCAAAATATAAAAGTAACAAAAAAAATCTTATTTTTAGTATCAAATTAAGCATATAAAAAAGTGATTCCGATGAATTATTTATGCGCTAGATATAAAACTTAATATTCAATCAAAAGTAAAGGTAAAAAAGTCTTTTTTATGTAAAAAATGTTTTTATCGCTATTTTTCAACGACATTTGGTTTTAAATTTTATTAATTAGTTATTTGATCTGATAACACGCCCTTAGTATTATAATAAATTCACTTGCGTATATCCATATAATTTAATTTATTTTTTGCTCAATGCTTTACATCCCGGAGCTCCACTAACACACTGTACTCTTAGAGGACGAGTATCTTTACGGTAGAAGAGAGTTCATTACCAGAGATTAGAAATCATATAAAGAAATGTACGATAAATGCAGCGAATGTGAGGCAAAACCCAAGGCTTTCATACAAAGTATATAAAGAGGCGCTCAAAAGATGTGAGAATTATATCGCTTTTTGGGATTGTATTCAGTATTCAATACTAAACAGACCGACAAAACAAGCCATCATTTTGAACATGAAATTATTGGTAAGAATATAATTCTCTAAATATTTGTGCATTTATTAATTAAATTGTTTTTTGACGGCAGATCTTAGCCGCTTTAGTAGCCATTGCTGTGGCGAACCCCTCGGTCCGCGTCGGTGGATGGGGTGGACTGGGACTCGGGTCGTGGAACCGATGGGATGACGGCTGGAACAGTGGACTCAGTAATGGATGGAATAACGGTTGGGGCCGCGGATGGGGCGGAAACAGTTGGGGTCTGAGCAACGGCTGGGGAAACAACGGCTGGGGTCTGAGCAACGGCTGGTCTAACAACGGGTGGGGTAACAACGGATGGGGTCGTTCCCTGGGCGGCGGTTGGGGCGGCAGATCTGTGGTGTTGAACTCCGGTTTGGGAGGCCTGGGATGGAACCGTGGTTGGAACGGTGGTCTGTCATCCGGTTGGGGCTTGAATAGAGGTCTGTCCAACGGGTGGGGCTGGAAATAAGCCATTTGAGTCGCACGACGGACAGCCTGCCATACAATTCGCACCAATATTTCGCAAAAACATCTCGTTTTGTAATGTCTTTAAAGATATTTCATACAAACATTTTAAATAAGACTTCAAAAATGTGGTCCTAATTTAAAGCATTTTTGTTAAGTTTATAAACAAGTTCAAAAATAAAAAAGCTTATTTTAAAATATACAGTCGGATTGATTATTTATTTTTGCTAATATATTTATTTATAGTGTTTTATAAATTTTTAAACAAAATTTTTAAAGTTGTATTAACTTAAAATGTTTTTATAATTAATTATGAATATTGTAAAAGTTAGTTTAGGACACAGAAATATACGATTAGTTGTGTGTAACAAATGATAAAAGTAGCCAAAAGTGTGTACAAATATGTCTGAAAACCATTTGTCGTGAAAAGGAATGGTAACGCAAATAATGAGCCTATGAGTTGAGATTTAATAAAAGGCCAGGCTCTGTTTTTAATGACTATTCCCGGATTCACATCAAATATCTCACAAATAGATTTATCTGATGAATAATACTCAGTCAAGAGATCGTCTTTCTTACGGTACAACTCGTATAACCACTTCTTTAATTCATTATCACTTTTTGGCAATTCATTGATGTCAATGAATTTGACTATAATTTCTACTTTTGGGTGAACACCGCTAAAATACTCTATTGAAATTAGAAAAATAAGTTAGTTGAGTACTATTGAGTACTAGATAAATTATATTCAATGTTATGTAATATAAGAATTGAATAGCATTTCAAATGACCGATAATAGAAGGCGATGAGTGTCTGGTGCCGTCCGACCCCTTCGTGTTTGGGTATATAATCGTGAGATCGAGTATAACATCGAATTGATCCCTAAAATGCTTACAAATCACTTGCAATGCCCGCGAACGCGGTATTAATAGATTCCTGAAGGGCTGGTAACCAATTTTTTCGCAGTATTTCCTACTGTTATCTAATACTTCAGGGTAGACCTGGTCGAAAAATGTACCCTCCGGGTACAATATCACCCAGCTCTGTTCGTAAATAATTATAATATTCAATTTATGTTGCATTTAATTTTATAAGTTATTAATATTTCAAATTCTTGATATTGATTAAACTAATTACAGTGTATGTTATAGTATTATTATTAGTATATTGGAATTATTTTGGTATTATATTTATTTAGCTTAAAAAACATTCTGTATAATATAATTATAGTGTGTATATAATTATATTTCTATTGAATAAACCGTTGGCACGAAATCCAACACAAATTGCATAAAGAATTTAAGGCAACAAAAGAAATATAGAGAAACCAATGCAATGATTGACAAACAAAAGCATAAGATTTTTGTGATATACAGTACTTTCTAAATCAAAATCTATTGAGAAAACATAGTATTATATTAGATTTGTTTGTGTCATACCGTGTATTGTATGGACAATACTCACCGGAATATCGTTATTGTTGAGGTGAGCGAGTGTTTTGGTCATCAGGTTTGGGTCAAACTTGGCTCCCTTTCCACTCTTGACGTAAATGCATGAGTGCTGTCAACACATCACAAATTATATTTCCATTGCTTACTATATAAACAATCTTATATAAAATATTATATAATATTGGGTTCTCATAGAATATATCAAAATGTAGGCGAAAATCATATAAAACATTTTGAATGCGATAATAAATATATGAATAAAATCTATATAAATATGTGTACCATAAAAAATGTATAGCCAATTAATGGTATGTATTGAAAGGGTTCTTTAGTGACATATCTGATCCTGGACAGTCTGCCAACTTTGTGGACCAGGTACTCTAGGTTAATGAAGTCGACAGCGCACTGATGGTTACATGTACATTTCTTTATATGATTTCTAATCTCTGGTAATGAACTCTCTTCTACCGTAAAGATACTCGTCCTCTAAGAGTACAGTGTGTTAGTGGAGCTCCGGGATGTAAAGCATTGAGCAAAAAATAAATAAAATTATATGGATATACGCGAGTGAATTTATTATAATACTAAGGGCGTGTTATCAGATCAAATAACTAATTAATAAAAATTTCAAACCAAATGTCGTTGAAAATAGCGATAAAAACATTTTTTACATAAAAACATTTTTTTACCTTTACTTTTGATTGAATATTAAGTTTTATATCTAGCGCATAAATAATTCATCGGAATCACTTTTTTATTCGCTTAATTTGATACTAAAAATAAGATTTTTTTGTTACTTTTATATTTTGGCTTAATAAATGTTATGGCCACGAGATATTTTTATACATTTTTTGCTACCTGTGCTTTATTTCTTATTTAATTATAAACGTGTTCAAAATATTGAATGTAAATTTAAATCATTATACAGGTACATTTATAATGCACTTAAAATGTTTTAATGAATTAATACACTCACAAAGGCAGTGATTTTTATCGCATTTTTGGACTCTATGTGCTGTAATTAATTGATATTTAAGGTCTTTTGTATAACCACCTCCCGGTGCAAGAGTTGGTTAAAGTTGCATAAGATATACATTTCAATGGCTTTTATGAATTTGCCAAAAGAATCCAAAAAATTATCACTAAAACTAATTCAAGGATATCTGGACAGACCAGACAGTTGTCGCAGACATCGGCACAAAAAATGAACATTAAATTCAAATTTTTTCGGTTTAATAGACATCTTATTTACAAATAAATAGTCAGTTTTTACAACGACTTTCACCTGCATCTCATTAAATGGTTAAATATTTTGTGTCATTTTAAAGTGTTTATTAATTTGTTTGAAAAACTTTGTATAAATAGTATTTAAAAAGTTTTAATTTAATATTTTATTTTAATTCATACAAATTAAATGCTCTCAAATATATGATTGAAAATTAATTAAAATATTAATATAATTAAAAAACAAGATTAAGATAAAAACATAAATAAGACTGACTTATGGTTTATAGTGTATAAAGTGTACACAAACTTAATTAATGCGAAAGTAATTTGCCCTGATTTTGCTATTAAATCCAGTATTCAATGAAATAGTTTCCTGTTTGTTCATTGAATTCATAAATAATATGGCAATTCATATATTATTTACTTTTTTCATTCCCAAAGCATTTCAATAAATTAATATCGGAGACCTTTACTATCAAATTATTAAAATATCAAATAACAAATAATACTTAAAATTTACTTATTTAATTATTTTTTCAATAAAACCCAAAAAATAAAAGTGAGAAAATATTTTTAAAATTAAATGCAGTTTTTGAGATAATTCTTTAAACTATCAACTGATAATCAGCGATATACTTTTTTAATATACATTAATGACAAAAACGTAAAAGAGTTATCAATTATGTGATAAATCTTTTCTATTGAAATGTGAAGTTTCAATAAAAACGTAAACATCAACGCAAACATAAAAAATTAAAATTATGAAAACATTTGATCTTAAAAAATCCTACATTTCTTCATAATTACATGAATTAATATGAATATAAATATCCAAATTGTTGTTACGATAAACCCGAGATCAACGGATTGATAGCCAAAAGATAAGCCTTTATTCATGATATCTCGCAATGCTTTCAAAGGCAGGGTTTGTGGCAAAACAAGACTCAGGCGTCGCATGAGAACAGGCATGCCATGGAGTGGCCAAACAAACCCCGAGAGATACAAATAGATGATGGATGTGCTCATTGTGATCATCGATACCCATTGCACTTCTTTCATCGTCGATGATATTGCAAGACCTATGAGATAATACTTGTAAGATTCAAACCAAACTGATTAATATCGACTGAATACTAACCAAAACCCATGCCAGCGATCCCCTGCAGGAAAACAATTAGAATAATGTCCAAAATGTATCCACTGTTTGGCACATTAAACACATATAATAGCATTGCTATCATAAGTATCGTCTGACAGATCATCATAATGAGCTGGATGAAAACTTGCGATATTATTATCTCACGCATCTTAAGGCCAGTTAGCAGTGAACGCTCCAATAGACCACTATTGGACTCCAAGACAAATATAACGGCAGTGATTCCCATTGTCATGAAGTATATGTTAGATAATACAATTCCTGGTGAAAAATAGCTTTGAAATCCAAAATCATTTGATCCATACACCGGTGGATCCATCGCTTGGACCACTGAATCAAACATCCGATTTTGTGGTACTTCTTGTAAATTCTCATTTAATGGCATATATTTACTGATTATTTCTTTTATAAAACTTTTTTCTGCATCTTTTATCGCCTTTATTACAGCATTTATTATTAATGTCACTGAAAACAATAAATTCATAGAAAATGCATAATTAAATAAACCTCATACAGTACCTAAAGTACCGTATATACAGTATTATATATCCAATTTAATATAATATAAGTTATAAACCTGTATAATCTCCATAGAAATGAATAGTACTTCTGTCAATATCATTGTCACTAAAACTTAAATCTGTGGTAAACCTCCTCATGAGTGCAGCGGTAAAGTCTTTATCAATTATTAAAGCCCCATAAATGCTATGATCCTCTGATGACATCGATTGGAGTGCCTTTTCCTTTGACTCCATATTTATCTATTGACCAAAATTATTTAAAACAAATATATCGTACTTTCAGTTATTGAATTACAAACCAACTTACAAAATATATGGTCTCAGTGTCTATATGACTCAAAAATACATGACTTAGTGTAATGAATGCCTTGTTTCTAACCACAGATTCATTAGATTCTCCGTTATAAAGAGCTATTTGAATATTAGTTGGTGTTTTACCAATGCATAAACAAAATAATGCCACACACATCGCCGGCATTAATATTTCAAATATGAGCCGGCTAAATAAAAACAATATTTTTTATATTGTATTATAAATTATTATAAATAATTACCGTTTGTTTCTCATATGAAGAATCCCGTTCTTCTGGGTTTGTATTACTAGTCGTTTAACAGATGTAACAAAACTATTTTCTTTAACCTCTTTATCATTTAGAATATGTTTTTTGTTAGGATTCACACATTCATTATTGTCACTTTTGTAGTCCATATAATTTTGTGGCATATCTTTAGTCAATTTCAAACAAATATTTAGGAATACTTTCTCTAAATTCTCTGTTTGAAAGTGATTTAATAGATATTGTGGCGAATGCTCCACCAATAGCTCCCCTTTTCTCATCAGTGATATCTAAATATATTGTTTAAATCACACAATTTATGTAATATAATAATTTAACTTTTTGTAAATCTATTATAAGTACCACATGTGCTCTTCGGGCCTCTTCTATATAATGAGTGGTTATTATAATAGTAGTTGACTTTCTTTGCGATAAAAACATTAAATGTCTCCAAATTCTAGACATAAAAATAAATTAATAAATAACATGTAACAAATAATTAATAAATAAACTCATTGTAACAAACTTTTCTCGGATTATTGGATCGGTTCCCACTGTTGGCTCATCTAATATAAGAAGTGGCGGTCTATGAATCTAAAGGTTACTTGTTATTAATGTTTTAAAGCTTTTCCCACAATAACATACAAGACACAGTGATAGAGAGACTCGTCGTTTCTGTCCACCACTGATATACAAAAAAATAATTACAATTACTATAAAAAAAATAAAATATAGATTTGCTTTACTTTTAAATTATTTGTCAATTAAATGATCATACCTCATATTAGTAATAAGGCTATTAGGATCGGGCAAATTTAGAAATTCTACCAGAAATTGAATCCTCGAAAGTGTCAATTCACGGCTCATACCATATAATTTGCTGAAGTATTTAAGGGCTTCATATACTGTAAACTCTTGAATGAGTGACAATTCCTCAATAAAAACAAAATCAACATTCATTATGTATAAACGTTCAATATTAATTTTGTATTATATTAATTACTTGCGGCATAAATCCAACACCAATACCGGGAATATTATTATCCGGGTGATTGGGTATCTTGCCTTTTATTCTAATTTTGCCATATGTTGGTCGTAATAAGCCTTTTGTATTAATTTTAATTATTGATAGAATTAATTACTGGTTATTTATCTCAAATTTTACTATTAACAAATATTACCTAAAATAAGTTTTAATACAGTAGTCTTTCCACAACCACTCGGACCCAGCAATCCATATCTGAGGGCATATGAAGTTGTTTAATTTTAATTTAAATAAAACCATGATACCAACTCCACTCCAATAATTTTAGACTTAATTGTTCATACTTACATGGCACCCTTAGGTACAGACATATTGAGTTCATTAATAAATTTGCTTTTTCTGTCATAAGAGAACTCAAGTGACCGTATTTTAACCATCAATTGTGTCCAATCGAGTGACTCTATGTCCCATGTTTTAGGTAAATCAACATCTTTCTCAATATTATTCTTGATATGCATTTTAGAAATTAATTATTTAAATAAATTATGTAATTATTTAATTGTATAATTTATTTAAAGCACTTGTATAACTTATACAAAAAAGTTATTTTATTTGTTTAAATAGATTTTAATGGTACTATTCATTTAAAATATTTTACTAACAGTTATAACTTCAGACTAAACACATGTTGACTAGTGTCAGTTGATCACATACTACCGGTATATTGTATGTAAAATTACTAATAAATTAATTGATATTTTTACATAAAATTTTATCAAGATTAATGTATATGTTTGAAAAGAGAGATTTTATTATATATTAAGGCGAATTATCACCATTATGATAAACATTTGAAAAGTAAAAATTCAACATAAATCACATTTTCCAAGAATAAAATACAAATATAAATTATACAGTACAACAGAAATTCACTTTAACTCAATTCTTCATCAGAAATAAATTCAGGTTTTACTGTAAAATGTCGAAAATATCAATTATTAACATTTAAAATATCATGAAAAATTATAACATCTCATAACAAATGCTAAAAATAAATACTCATATTGCATAATAATAAAATATAAATTCTTTACGTATAGGTGTTACTTATTTCATAGCGTAAGTCCTGAGTCCGTAAGTCCTGTCCATTAGTTCTGTGCCAACCGTTTGGCGCTTTGGTCGCCGGTCTGACTGGCCGTCCGTTTCCGGTCCTTCTTGTGGTTCAACTTCTCTCTGCGTTTACTGCGAACCGACTTCTTATGGTTGGCCACAATCCAGAACTGCTTCTCCTCGTCGCCGCTCAACACCTGAGCCGACACTTCCTGACCGTTGATCACCATCTTTGGATCAATTCCGCCATTTGTTGGCGCCATAATCGCTGACAAGCCGTTCAAAGTGTCCAAAGAGTTGGCGAACTGAACTAAACAGTGGCCGTCCGGATGGCGCCCACAGTAAACCACTTTCCCGTAAGGCGTGAAGAACTTCTTGAGCCGATCCGTGGAAACGCTTCGCTTTAAACCCATTATCTTAATCACCACTGATTTGTCGGGAATCAGGTCTTTGGCGGACAATCCATTACTCACACCATTGGTCTTCGGCTGACTGTTAATCACAAGAATTCAATTGATATATCATTGGATGTATTGATGGCATACCTCTTAAGCTTCTGCACATTAATGAAAGCCTTTGTGCGGAAATTGTACTCCAATTTGGTTTCCATCTGCAGCTCATTGTCGTTGTATTTGACGCCCAATTGGTTCCGCATTTTGTCGGCCAAACACTTGTCGGTGAATGTCATGAAAAGACTTCCACTGAAGCGACGGCCGCTTCGGTGGCGACCGATTTGGAGCGAAACAAAGCCATCGAAGCGTTGCGCCCATTGGATCAGCTCAGCGACGGTCGCCTCCTTCGGGAAGCCCTTCGCGTAAACCGTGCGCTCGTCTACACTCGCCATCAGTTGATCCGACATCTGCGGCAATGGTTTGCATGGCTTTCGACGGATCCCATCGATGGTGTCATTCGTTTCGATCAAATCGGACGACGAGTTCTTCACGGCGTCCGTCAACACATCCATCGAGTTGTTGACCAAAGCGTTCAGACGTCGGAATCGCATCAATGTCTTCATCGGAAGCCCTGTTGGCGAAGAGATGTCATTGAATGCCATGAATGGTAAGTGGGATGCGATTGAGTGGCTCGTCTTACAGCCGTTGTTCTTGTGGGCGACGCGTCTCATGAAGTGGTCGTTCATGAGATTCACGTCCGAGAAGTAGTACTCCAACTGATCGATCACTCTCTTCCTGTCTGTGGCGCCCATTCTTCCGGAGTTGTGTCGTATGAGTCAATGCAATGGCTCTTCAGATGAGACGTGTTCTCAATGCGTGAAGTCGTCAAACAGTTCACACAATCGTTGGGTTTTCGACTCACTTTTGGCTCTCGTCTGGTCTCCCAATCCGTGTCCCCCTCATAGACAACGTGACAATCGGTTGGAAAACCTTTTTTCGTTTCATTTACACGTCAATTGCAAATGAATTTATTAAATACTCATTTGTTTTATAATTGTTTCTAAAGCGGCAAATAAGTTACTTTCATATGATTTGATTCATATTAATACAGTACCTAGATTACTTTTATATTAGAGATAATTTAATTAATGTTTTGTGATTATTCGTGCTTAATTTAATTGTGTACGCGTAAAGTGAGCTAGGTATCATATGTATTTGGAAATTAATTTTTGCTATCTAATTATTTAACTGTACTAGACAATTTAAGATTTTTACATAGGTTTTTAGGATAAATGAGAACTTTAAAAATATATTTCATGTGTAAATTTTCAATTCACAGTATATTCGAGTATTTTTTCAAGAATATTCTGTATAAATAATTGTGTTAATTGTTTATGACTGCAAAAATAATTTCTTTTGTTTATTAATTACAAGCAATTAACTAAAAATTATTGGTTTTGTTATGAATTATATAATTATATAATGTGTTACAATAGCGAACACAAGGATTGACCCAATTTTAAGCTCAAAGATTGTTTGCATGACTCCGAGGCACTCATACCACTCATTCCCACTCAACCCAGACATTCAATGATCCTAATTATGTCATTGAGTACTAATACCTGATACTCAACACGCTATCAATACTTAATCTATTAATTGATTTCTCTATAACTATCCAAAATAACAACAATATTAAGCATGCGATAAGAATTCACGTGTTTTTAGCTTTGATTTTGGACTTAAATTATTGATTTTCTGAACAAATGAACACAATTTTCTATTTATGACTTGAGATTATCTGTAAATTACTGTAAACTTTCATAAAACATGTATTAATATGGAGGTGAAGAGCCGTGCGTTACCGTCGGAGTCGTGTACGGGTGTCGCCAATGATGTGCCCATAGAGTCGTCGGCAACGGCCGCCAAACTCGCGCAACAGTCGTCCGAAAATCATCATGTATTAATATGGAGGTGAAGAGCCGTGCGTTACCGTCGGAGTCGTGTACGGGTGTCGCCAATGATGTGCCCATAGAGTCGTCGGCAACGGCCGCCAAACTCGCGCAACAGTCGTCCGAAAATCACATGAACTCAAAGAATGGCAGAAATTTGTTTAGATTTAGCGAAAGATTCACTAAAAAGACAAAACAGACGAAGAAAAGCAAACTCAGAAATGACAGTAACATTACCGGTCAGTCCTCGGTCGGGGATGCCTTAAAAGGGGTGAAGTCGACGGTTGATAATGAGAGCCTATCGGGCGATGAGATGGGTATTGTCGTGAGTGATCATATTGGCAGAGGTGGTGCGAGATATGATTCAAAGCTATCTATAGGGACTGGTGATCAACAGGTATGTCAGAGATCTTTAATGTTGACAATAATTTATGGTGCAGTGGTTTTTCTTGTAATCTTTTTAATCATATTCAGTGCCATTCATTAGTTTTTCATTCAGTTTTATTTTTCTTGTTTCCACTTAACCTTCAGTTTCTTATCGTTTGAATCACTTTTGTGAAAGGATTTTGTTTTTTGCCCAAAGATTTTCTAACAAATGCTAATTTGAAAACATTTTTTTTTCTGATAGTTTTGTTCAATGAGATTCACATAATAATTCAAACTATTATTATATAATGAGGAATGACAAACAGTATTAATTAATTTATCTTATTTATGAAAAGTTTATTGAGATTATATTGAAAACACAGGATTATTTCCTTATAAGATAAATGGATACTTCAGTAAATTGTTGATTAAATTTTATAAATACCTTTGGACTAATAATTTCTATGACTTTCTCGGTATTTGCATAACACTTTCAATTTCTATTCAAAACACAATTGAATTTATCAGTAAAATAATCTTATAAATATAGAATTTAATATAATTATTAGTTATAAATGCTTATAAAATACTGGCATTTAAGTTACAGATTGAGAAATAAGTCATTTGTATCGATAAACTACTGCTAATAGTAGTGATTTGAATAGATTCATAATAATAAAACAAATAATAATTGTCTAATCTGTGAAGTTTTCACAAAATAAACAGTAGAATATTGTCTATATCTTATTTACTCTAGTAATGTATTGTAAATAGATGTTGTATTCAATTAAAAGTTTTCTTAGTTTTTCTAACAAACAATTAATTTACTAAAAACTTGGATGACAGAGGATTTAGTATGTATTCTGAATAACTTATGTTTGATGTATGAAATCTGTTTCCGTGACATAACTTCTGTTTTGTTAATAATTGAACATTTTGTATGCTAAATTAATAATAATTATTATTATCTCTCAACTATATCATGAGAGATTATCAGACATTTGAAAAAGTAAAATTATATTTGAATTTTAAGTTATATAAAAATTAAATTTCCAAATACGATATAACATCTAATTTGAACAAAATGTATATTAAGACAAGAAGTGATGACATGGGCAGTGGTGGCCCAAAGTCGGAGTCTCTTTCCGGGAATATAGAGTCACTCGATTGGAACAAATTAATGGTTGAAATACGAAAAGTTTGTTTCAAATATGACAGCAAAGGCTTTATAGACAAACTCAATATGTCTGTACCTAAGAGTGCAATGTATGTCAATATTCTTGAGTTAAAGAATTTGTTAATAATTGGTTTTTATCTCAGATATGGATTACTGGGTCCGAGTGGCTGTGGAAAGACTACTTTATTGAGACTTATTTTAGGTAAAAGGTCTTCATACAAAAAATATAATCAAACTTTTAATTATAATTTAATTAAAGGCCTAATAAAACCAAAATCTGGTACTATTCAAATCAATGGTAAACCACCGGGTAGTTCTGCTAACAATATCCCGGGTATTGGCGTTGGATTTATGCCTCAAGTAATACAAAATGTAGTAAATGTTGACAAAAATAAATACTAATTTGTGTGTGAATTGGAGGAATTGGCTCTCTTTCAAGAGATCACACTAAACGAAGCGCTCAAATACTTCAGCCGATTGTATGGTATGAGCGATGAGTTGACGCTTTCGAGGATTAAGTTTTTGGTAGACTTTTTGGATCTGCCCGATGCGGACAGACTTATTGGTACCATGAGGTATGTGTCCGTGTAATCAATGTTTAAATGAAATTACTAATTATTTATGAAATAATTTCAGTGGTGGACAAAAGCGACGGGTTTCCTTATCGCTATCTCTTGTAAAATAATTTTTAATTTAAAATATTATATTTTTTTATAACTTTGTGTTAATCTTCAGGTACACAATCCACCACTTCTTATATTGGATGAGCCCACTGTTGGTACTGATCCGGTGTTGAGAGAGAGGTTTGTCCAGTAGAAAAGTTATCAACAAATTAATTACATGTTTTATTTGATAATTATTGATAGGATTTGGGAGCATTTGGTGGTGTTATCCCGAAAGGAGTCGACAACTATTATAATAACCACTCATTATATCGAAGAGGCCCGAAGAGCACACGTGGTAATAGACATCGGGATGTGTTTTATTCAATATTTTTAACGATTGAATTGAATTTAATTGAATTAAGATATCACTGATGAGAGAGGGAAGACTACTGGTTGAACATTCGCCACAATATCTATTGAATCATTTTTGTGTCCAAAATCTGGAGGAAGTGTTTCTGAAAATGTGTGACAGAAATAGGTCGGCAATTATGCCACAGAATTACTACAACACCAGAAGTATAGACAGTAGCGATAACTTAGTTTCAAATGAAAAACCAAAGGATAAGGAAATGACAGACAAAATGATACAAAAAACTTCGGTTACATCTACTAAACGAGTGTTAACCCAAACGTATAAAAATGGGATCAGACTTATGAGAAACAAACCGTAAATTTAAATCTTGTTTAAAATAAATTTCTATTTTTAATAATGATTTTTATTTAATAGTTTACTACTATTTGAGACCATTTTGCCGACAATCTGTATAATAATATTCTGTTTATGCATCGGAACCAAACCATACAATATTCAGATAGCCGTCTATAACGGGGAATATGATAATTTCACGACAAACGGTTCCCAAGTGACAACATTAAGTACAACTTTTCTCCGTCAAGTCAATAATAAGACTATTAACCTGGTATGATTTTAAACAATTGTGTTCATTTTAAACTAATATATGTTTTGTTAATACCGATAGAAACACTATTCATCAAATGAAAGCGCTTACAATGCGGTGCGATATTCTGGCGATACATACGGTGCTATTGTTTTTGACAAAAACTTCACGTCTGCCCTCTTCAACAGATTTGTTAACCAGTTTAAGGCCACCGATGAAGACATCGACAGCAGTACCATTCAGTTCTTCGGGGACTTTACAGGTATATAATGTATTGATCACTAAATTATTATATTTTCAAAATGTTTATTACTATTATTATATAGATATGATAATAACGGAAACGCTGACCAAAGCCTTAATTGACGCCGAGTTGTCTTTCATGAGAGAGACAATGAATACATATTTGCTGATTAACCAAGATCCTTTGATTAAGAAACAGTTTAGACTATATGATCCGCTCGTCAAATTCATGGACCCACCCGTCTATGGCTCTATTGATCCCAATTTTCGAGATTTTATGGCACCAGGAATCATAATATCTGTCATTTACTTCATGGCCGTGGGTCTGACGGCACTGACACTAGTAGTGGAGCGAAAGGAGGGCCTACTGGAGAGGTCGCTGGTGGCCGGGCTTAAGATGCACGAGATTCTCGCCTCACAAGTCTTACTACAGTTCTTTATAGTGGTATTACAGGCAACACTACTCATGATATTCACGTTTTTGGTGTTTGAAGTGCCCAACCAGGGTAATATTGTCTACATTATACTCATTGTTTTGCTACAAGGACTGGGCGGCATGTGTTTCGGTATGAAGTGTTTGATGACATATTTGATTGAATCTAATTATGTGGATGTGTTGATGGGTTGGCAGGTCTGGTCATATCATCCGTGTGTAAGGATGAGAACTCGGCTATAATGGCTTCGTTGGGATCTTTTTATTCCTATTTCTTGATATCGGGCGTCATTTGGCCGCTCGAAGGGATGCCCCCCTGGCTCAAGACTATCAGCTATTTTACGCCACAAACCCTGTCTATAATATCTCTCCGTAATGTCATGTTAAAGGGCTGGACTATAGTCTACCAAAACGTTTATTTAGGTTTTATATCGATATTTATCTGGATATTTCTTTATCTATTACTCGCGTCAATAATTTTAAGATATAGAAAATAGTTTTGTTATCTTTATTTGTTTGTAATGTGTATTAACTATAATTTTATTTATTTTATAATAAGTATATTTAATTAAAAGTTGATTAATTATTAATTTATATGAATAAACAAGTTATATATAATTTATTATATTATCTTTATCATTATGTTTTTGAAACTTAATTTTTAAGCATTAGTGGCTGCAATTGAAATTTTTAACAGTTTATTTAAAAGTATTACCTTGATAAACACATATTAAAATACAATATTTTGTTTACTAACCAGATTTTTAATATTAAAATTTATTTAATCTACAAAATATTTAAAAAGACAGACTTTGACACAACAGTCTGGAAATATTTTAAACTGGATTTTATTTTAAATTTTATTATTTATTTAACACTAATCGTAAACAATTTTTAAAATTAAATGTTTTCCATAATTTCATATTACTTTAACCTGTATTACTAACACTTATTTTGAAATTAGTTGTAAACTAATAAAAATATAAAGTTTGAGAAAATGTATCTTAAATTACAAAATGAAGATGACTTTAAGAATAAGTCTTATAGAAGTCAAGACATTGAATCCCTTGATTGGACTAAATTAATGGTCAAAATACGATCAATTGATTTTACATATGATCCAAAAATCAGATTTATTGACAGACTTAATATGTCTGTACCCAAGGGTGCCATGTATGTATTTATTAATTTAATAATTTTTTATAGAATTCCTAAATTAGCTATTAATTAAATATAGATATGGGTTATTAGGACCGAGTGGCTGTGGAAAGACATCTCTACTAAAGCTTATATTGGGTAAATTTCCTTGCTAAATGTCACAATTTATAATAAATGGAAATTTATATTCAAAATTAAACTTGACCAGGATTAATCAAACCGAGAGCTGGCAAAATCAGAATTAATGGCAAACGCGTGGGACATCCTGTCAATAAGATACCGGGTATTGGCGTTGGTTTTATGCCACAAGTAATTCATAAATTAATAAACTAAATACAAATAACTTATATATTATTTATAAATTTATTGAGGAATTGGCTCTCTTTCAAGAAATCACTTTAAATGAATCACTCAATTACTTCAGCAGATTGTATGGTATGAGTGATGAACTGATCCATTCAAGGATTAGGTTTCTGGTTGACTTTTTTGATTTGCCCAATGGGGACTGTCTTATTGGCACCATGAGGTACATTGGTAATATAATTTTAATTGTACTTTTATCATTTAGTTTGTTTTATTATTTTAGTTGTGGTCAAAAACGTCGAGTCTCTCTGTGCCTATCGCTCGTAAAAATTATATAAATTTTATTTATCTATTAAACAACAAATAAATGTTTTAATAAAATGAGTTCATATATCGATGAATAGGTCCACAATCCACCATTTCTTATATTAGATGAGCCAACCGTCGGAACTGATCCACTGCTCAAAGAGAAGTATGTATTCATTCATAATTGTATTAAATTAACAATTAAAAAATTTTATAATATTTATTAAGTTTATTATTAACTTTTTAAAATAAATTAATGTTTACATTGAATACAGAATTTGGGAGCATTTGGTGGAGTTATCTGAGATGGAGGGCACGACTATTATAATAACCACCCATTATATAGAAGAGGCCCGAAGAGCTCATATCGTATGAATTCATTAAGAAATGTTCAAAACTTAGTTAATTATTTATATTTAATTGGCTTAAGGTGGCACTCATGAGAAAGGGTAGACTATTGGTCGAGCATTCGCCACAATTCCTGCTAAACTATTTTTGTGCTCAAAATCTCGAAGAAGTGTTTCTGCGAATGTGTGGCAACAAAGTGGCCGAAGATATGCCCGAAAATTATTATGAGTCCCGAAGAATGGATTTCAATGGAAATGTATTCTTTAGTAATAAAGTACTAATGGATGACGAGATAAGAGACCAAAAGATGATAAGTTCAGTCACTTCTATGGATAGGGTGTTAACGCAAACACATAAGAATGCCATTAGAGTGATGAGAAACAAACCGTAAATAACAAACAAATTAATTATTTCTGGCTAACCCTTATTTAAATATAATTTTCATATTATTAGTTCGCTTATATTTCAACTGATTATACCAACATTGTGTGTGATATTAGTATGTCTTTGTATTGGGAAAAGACCATATAATATGCAAATAGCACTTTATAACGGTGAGAGAGATAATACGTTTACCAAACTAAGCCATACATTTATAAGTCATGTAAATTCAACTACAATTAAATTCGTGAGTTACTGCATATATAGTACTGTAGTATAATTTGTTAAAATATAATATTTTTAATAATTACATTTTAATATATTAGAAACATTACACATCTAAAGAGTCTGCACTTAAATCAGTTGAATCTGACGGTACATACGGAGCCCTTATCATCGATAAGGATTTTACTTCAGGTATTATAAACCGATTTGAATCTCAAATCAATGCCACCGATAAAGACTACGATAACAGTACTATTCAATTCTATGGAGACTTCACTGGTAATTAGCTGTCATACTAGTTAATAGTAATGTTGTTTTAATTGAAAAATTTATATTTAATTGAGATTTCATAATAATGCAAACTTTGATGAAAACCCTGAGGGAAGCAGACCTAAAGTTTATGAAAGAAATAATGGATACGTATAAGCCGGGACAAAACACGGCAATGTTTGATCCAATAGTCAAATTTATGAACCCGCCAGTGTTTGGCACATTAGAGTCCAATTTCCGAGACTTCGTGGCCCCGGGATTGATAATATCGTTGGTGTACTTCATGGCTGTCGGTCTGACGGCACTGACCCTCGGAAGTGAGAAAAAGAGTGGTC